CATTGCATACACTACAGACGTCCACATCTGGCGCCATAGCTGATGTATGGACCGGATTCTACTGGACTATATGAAGAGATTAAGAAGCGAATAGTTTGAATATCTAGGATGGCATAAGAAATGTTGCCTGAGTGATAAGCAAAAATAGACTTAAACTACCGGGTATTAAGGAAAATATCAAATACAACTGTAAGCATCACTGCAATTCACAAACCCTTTGGTCGAGGAAGTCACTGTCCATGAACACTGGCTAAGGAACGTTTTCACAAAATTTTCACACTTTAATTAACCTAATAAAGATACATAAACAGCGTCCCGCTAATCGGTCCACTGTACGTATTCCGAGCAGTAGAAAACGTGTTTTAGGAAGTAACGATTCTCTAAAATATTTGAATAAAATTATTTATATCCAGCGGAAAGATAGAAAGAAGAAAAGTAATCTGAAGTTAGTCACTCTTTCTGACACAGTCCGGATCGAAAGATGACGATACTCGTGAAATGTATTGATACACCCAAGTGTCGAATATAAGAGTATCGATCGAAGGCCCTTATGTTGATATATCAGGATCTTCATAGCTATGGGATAATCTTACTTTGTGCGTACTCAAAGTCCACAATTTCATTTTTTCAAAATAAAAGCCAGTTTAGTCTTTATAATTTATTATATTCCGCGGTCCTTATGGTGAGTCACTCTGAACATAGAAACATGAAGCATGTGCAAGGTCCATTTGTCCAATATTTCATGGAAGTACAAAGTCAATCCACTTGACACTGTTTTTCACATGGTGTCTTGAATCCGTGCCCATCACTTTCGATATCTTTAAATAAGTAATGTGTATAGCAACGGATAGTTACTTGTTTCCACACATCTATGAAGAATATTCGAGGCACAGTTGTCCAATACTCCATGGAAGTACAAAGTCAATCTACTTGACGTTATTTCTTCAACCTCATCCACGTGGTTTCACATGGTGTCTTGAATCCGTACCCGTCACTTTGCACACTGTAGAAACAGCAGAACCATTTAGGAGCTATTTACCTGATTCTCCGTATAAAAAAAATTCCTTAAAAAAATTAAATCAAACCATGCGATGATCCCCCACTTCACATCAAGGAGCTGATGGTTGTTATCCATGAATATTTAGCAAAGTTGAAAAACCTTTCATAAATAATATATTTTCGCTCTTACTTTCCGAATTGGCGAATGTTGAAGAACCCGTTTAAATGAGGAAAATAAAAATAATAATTTCACATTTACGTTTATCATCCGCCCTAAATCATCCAACTCCATAAGACTTAACGGGAAAGGAAGTTTTATAAAAACGATTCTGTTAAAATATGCCGGCGGAGTGGGCTATTAAGGATTAAGTGAAACGCAGACATGGTAAAAAAGGTAGCCGCCGCGTTCCGACCAGCACAGCAACGCCGAGCCAAATGGTTATTTAAACGAGCGATCACTGACAACAAACTAAATATTATTTTATTTTAAAGTTTTAGTGTTAGATGATCATTCACCGCTAGCTTGATGAAGACCTATACAGGGTGTTTCAGTTTATTGTTGCATAACTTTAAGATTCGATAGAACTTTTAAAATTAATGCATAAAGTCTATATAAGCATGGGTCGAAAAATGCGTGGCTTCCGAAATACTCGTACAAGGTGTTTAAATTTACTTTTTAAAATAGTTTTTTTTTTAAATATTTCGAACAATATTTAATGTCTATCAGTGACAATTGGTATACAAGGGTTTTCTGGTACGACAAAAAGAACCATGGGCATAGTTTTATTGTAGGCGCTAGAGGGCGCTCTCTACTGTACCTGTAGTGTATTAAAATGACCGAAAATTTTTTCATAGTACAATTTTTTGCTTTCTGAACAAAAAAACTGATTCTTCGCACTTTTCTGCATAAAAAAACTCTCCTGTGTGTTTTCGTTATAGTTAGCCGTTTTTGAGATATTTGGATTTTTAAGGTTCGATGCATTTTTAAATATTTATGGGAAAATAATATTTTTTTTTACATTTTCGATTTGGGCATTACAAGTAATTAAGATGATCGTTTAGATTGTGTTTTTAAACACAGCAGTAATTCCTAACTCCAAATAAACACAAAAAACAGAATATTAATTTGTTTAATTTTCCAATATTATTTTTAACAAATTAAATTAATTATTTACAACTAAAACGCTATTGGATAGTTAGGACAAACATACAAAATCTAAAGTAGTTGCTCGAAATGTAAACCCAATTGTTCAATACACAATTCACATCTACGAATGATCGAACGTGGTATAGCATTATTCAAATAAGGCCTTATTTCATCACATGCATTCCTGATTCTGTCTATTAGCATATCTCTTGTGGTTACGGGAGTCTGGTACACTTTTTCTTTTAGAAATCCCCACACAAAGAAATCTAATGGATTTAGGTCAGGGGATCGTGGAGGCCAGGCGACTGGTCCTCCACGGCCGATCCATCTTTCTGGATAATTTTCGTCCAGCCAGTTTCTAACTATTCTCGAATAATGAGCTGGACAACCATCAAGCTGGGACCAGGCCAATCTTCTTAAACATCCCACATATTTGCATGTTCAGCCTTTAAAAATTCCAAGAAGGTCGCAGCATTTAACCTTGCAGGCAGAAGGTAGGGTCCAAATAGTCGATTACAGTAGATACCAATCCACACGTTCACACTAAATTCATGCTGAAAAATTTCTTTCCCGAACTGCATGCGGATTTTCATGCGACCAAATATGTTGATTATGAAAATTTACCACTCCACGTCTAGTGAAGCATGACTCATCGGTCCATAAAACGTTACTTAAAAACTTCCTATTATTATCAGTTCTATCAAGAATCCACTGACAAAATGTGATTCTTCGTTCTCCGTCCCCTGGCTGTAGTCCTTGCACAGGTTGCAAATGGCAAGGACGTCTATGGTCATTTCTCAGAACACGGTGAACATGGCTTGCTGAAATTCCCAAGGCACCAGAAACACTTGTGGTCGGATTTCTATCAAACTCACGCAGAATCATACGGGTAAATCTGCGCTGACGAACATCTATGTTTTGATCCCTTTGGAGATTTCCAAAACCATTTTCAATTATTTGGCGATGCACTCTCACAAATACTGAGCAAGTTGGATGTCGTCTGTTTGGAAATCTTCGTGCGTATTCTCTGGCTGCTTCTACTGCGTTTCCATTTACAAAGCCATACACAAAATGAATATCCGCTAACTCTTGATTGGAGAATAAAAATGGCATTTTTATAAAACTTACAAAAAAATACAGGTAAAAGAAACTAAATTTCGTGCATTCACAATTGCAAAAAAACGTTTCAGGTTTCAACAGACAACAAAACTAACTGTCAACTAATTGACGTTTAACCTTATTCTGCTTTCAATTTCAAAAATATTTGCAGGCACAGCCTACTTCTAAAAATTATCGAGATACTGACTATTTAACGTTATTTTATCATAAATAATTAAAAATGCATCGAACCTTAAAAATCGAAGTATCTCAAAAACGGCGAACTATATCGAAAATTCACAAGAGAACTTTTTTATGTTGAAAAGTGCGAAGAATCATTTTTTTTATTGAAAAAGCAAAAAATAGCACTGAGAAAATTTTTTCGGTCATTTTAATACACTACAGGTACCGTAGAGAGCGCCCTCTAGCGGCTACAGTAAAACTATGCCCATGGTTCGTTTTGTCGTACCAAAAAACCCTTGTATACCAATTTTCACTGTTATACATCTAATATTGTTCGAAGTATTTAAAAAAAACTATTTTAGAAAGTAAATTTAAACACCCTGTATTTCTGAAGCCACGCATTTTTCGACCCATGTTTATATAGACTTTATGCATTAATTTTAACAGTTCTATCGAATCTTAAAGTTATGCAACAATAAACTGAAACACCCTGTAGATCTCGTTTGTTACCTTAGATCAGTGGTGGCGAAACTTTTGAGCTCGGTGAGTCAAAATTTTTAAAAAATTGTGTTTTTTGGTATTAAAGTTTGTTTGCTAAATCTCCTATTTCGGGTTTATACTTGGTACGTATCAAGGCCAATGAAGCGCCTGACTTCATCTGTTAACCTATTCGGTTTGTTTATCTTAATATTATTAAATGCTAAGCACAATGTCTTAAATATGTAGATGAAAGAATTGTTAGCAATATTATTGTCTATGGCTACTTTGCTCAGGCGTATTGACAATCGTCAAGAGATAACTTTTTGTAAACTTGTACCTGTCCCCAAAACTTTCTAAAGAGCAGAGCAAATTGTCTGCGGGCAAATCCTGAAAAATCGTCAAAGTTGCACAAAATCATGCTAAATATGCAAATTTTGAGATCCAAGCGGCCACGGCTCCCCTCACCTCCCTGTGGACGCCCATGTATTTAAATGTTTTTAATATGTATATTTTGTTACACAATATCATTGTACATGTACGTGTGGTTTCATAATTAAATTATTAATTAGTATTAGTAATAACTGCCCCTTATCACAGACAAATATTTGATTTATGAAATTTTTTATCTTTGAAGCAGCTTGTCACCAAGAATGAGCTCGTCATCTCTGCCTTAGGTTATTAGATTTTTTAAGAAAGGCGTTTCAAATTATTTCTAAAATGGTCAACGATAGCTTGCAAAAAACGTTTATCAACTAAAATAGTATCTACCGCTCCAACTCCTGACTCAACAAGTTCTTGTCACCGCAGCCCAATGGGCGTAACGATTAGTGCTGTGCGTCCACTAACCCGATGGACGTGAGCTGTGCGGGTTCGAATCCTGTCTCAAACTTTTTTTTCCTTTGGCTATGTAGTATTTGTTGCTAGGTGATATACGGTATCAGGCCGTAGAGCATGTATGTTCCACCCTATGAATCTCTAAGGTGGGGCCTGAATGTACGTGCCTAGGGATGCAACGATATATCGGAAAACCGATAAATATCGATATATCGACAACTAAAAATATCGATATCGACGATACGCCGATATCGATATATCGATATCGAAAAATTCAATATATCGTATCAAAATATCGAAAAACCCATACAAATTAAAATACCCACAAAAACGGGTAAAACGCTTGACTGGCAACGTAAGAACACTGACTCTCTAGAAAATGAGATATGACGATACGGCAAGTGACAAGTGTATATGTTTTGTGATATGACGTGTGACATGTACACGTGTTGTACCTGTTAGTTGCTAATAAATTAAAACTCAATTTTAATTTCAAAATCTGAAGAGAAGAAGATTATGGTCATATTTCAAAAAAGAAGATGGTACTGCCGTTTGCACTATTTGTAACAAACGAGTTAAAACGTCTGGAAATACAAGCAATCTAGCATTACATATTAAACACAATGATCCAGAAGAATGTGACATTGGGTATGAAACCAATTGTGGCAACAAGCGTTCCTTCCGAACGTATTTTTTCAGCAGCAGGAGCCACTATAACTTAGAGCAGAAACCGGCTACAAGGAAGCAGACTGTCAAAGTTACTATTTTTAAGTTCAATAGCTACTACAAAATACTGGAATTAATTTTCCCAAATAAATGTATGGACAGAAAAACACATATTATATAAATATCCGAATTTTGTTTCACTTTACATACATAAGTATAAAAATTTATATACATACATAATCGAAAACTGTTTGATATAACTCAAACAGCATTGCATTTCTAATATCTGTAAGCTTCCAAAAAAAATATGAAATATCGATAGATTGATATCGACTTAATTCGATATATATCGATATCGATATATCGTTATAAAAAGTTTGCATCCCTATTCGTGCCACATACCCCCTCCCCCACACCTCATCGTTCCTGTATCCCCTTACAGCTCAACGATACCCTCGAGTGTGTAGGTTTTGGGTTGCTGCTCATCGAAAAGTGTCAGTATTTCTAGGCTAAGGGATTAAAGCAAAAACTTTCTGTAAGCATTGTATTGGTTCAAAACTTCTGCCTTACGGGATATAGAGTGTTAGCTGTGTTGACAAAGCAAAGCAGCAAAGAAGTTAGGATAATAGTGACTTGCTTGGAAATGGCTGCCTTGTAAAAGCCGAAAGCTTTGCAAAGAGTATAAGATTGGATTGCTTTTTAGCAGGAATTAAACATTAATTCATTGGCACTGCGAGATTTTTTCTTACGAAGACATATCTTGTCATTTTGTAATAAATTTATATCACTGTATCCTACAGCAACGCATTCTAGATGGTCGGGTATGAGAACGGTTTGTGTCCAGAAGTATCGCCATTATTTTTTAAAATATCCTGCTAAATATACTAAGTGACATATAAATCCGAACACCCAGTTTAAATGGTTTTATTTTAATAAAATTTTGTATAAGTACTTAATGAACCATAATAAGTAAATGATAAAAATTTCAAAATGATTGCACTGTTTTAAAGCCCTTTGACCTTTAATAATGTGTGGATGCACCCTGATGTGCTACGCATTCTCCAACGTGCCTAGGCATGCTTCTGATCAGGTGGTCAATGTCCTCCTGTGGTATCTCATTCCAGGCAACCACCAACTCCTCTCGAAGTGCTTCTAGAGTCTGAGGAGGACGTTGCAAATTGAGCAATCTCCTACCCATCATATCCCACACGTGCTCAATTGGCGATAAGTCGGGAGATCTTGGTGGCCATGGTAACAATGTGACATCATTATGTTGAAAGAAGTCTATTGTGAGTCTTGCAACATGTGGCCGGGCATTATCCTGTTGGAAAGTTGGATCTGCCAGGGTGTCAAGATAGTGTAAAAGATGGGGTTCTAGAACTTCGTGGATATAACGCTGCGCGTTGATGTTACCTCTGATGAAGATTAAAGGTGTCCTGGAACCATAAGCTATAGCACCCCAAACCATAAATCCAACAGTGTGATGAACATGTCTTTTAACAAAAAACTGTGGATTCCTCCTTTCACCACGTCGTCTTCTAACCCTGGCACGACCATCGTGCATGCCTAAACAAAATCGAGACTCGTCACTAAAGACAATACTGTTCCAATCCTGATCCCAGAGTGACCGTTGTCTGCACCACTCAAGGCGATTACGTCGGTGTTCTCGAGTTAAAGGGAGGACCCATTGTGGCCGGTATGGAAACAAGCCAAAACTTCTCATTCGTCGGTAAACACTTCGCATGCCATTAGGTCTTCCGTGTTCTGCAAACCATTCATTTGCAATGGATCTGGTAGTGGAGAAACGGTCCAATAATCTTAGGCGGCGATCTTCACGGTCTGTTGTTCTACGGCGGCATCCAGTGCCCCTTGCTCTTTGCGTACGGCCTTCTCGAAGCCATGCCTGACAACACCTAACCACAGTGTCTACACTTCTTTGCACTCTAACTGCAATTGCCCGAAAAGAAAGTCCAGCTTCCCGAAGTCAAACTATACGGCCCCTATCAAACTCACTAAGTTGACGAAATCGTACAGGTCTCCGTACTCTAGGCATCGTAACCGATCGTAAAGGATGTCAAGAACCAAAATCCGCCAACGTTGATTCTTTACTGCGGCTGAAATATTCATTTTAGAGCGTTAGTGAATTAAAAAAAAAGCAGTATAAAAACCGGAATGTCCAACTGATAAGGCTGAAAATTTGTTCACTTGTTATTTACAGTAAGAGAAATACATTCACCAACTTTTAATAAAATAAAACCATTTAAACTGGGTGTTCGGATTTATATGTCACTTAGTATATGTTCAAATAAATCTTATTCAATATTGTCTATACCTACCTTATGATGCCACTTTCGATAATTGCTTTTCCAATAGACAACGCACTATCCAATAAGTACAGCTTCAGTTAGTTGTAACTTACCTGGAAGAAAAAAAAAATACATGGATTTGCAAAGTCTAACACGGTATATAATATGTACCTCGTATGGCGTCGTTCAATGTTAAGGTACTAGCAAAATAGATCAATACCACAGCAAAAGCTATCAGTTTTGGCCTCGTATAAGTCTCATTTATTTGAACCGTGTGTCGATAGATTATTTTGATAAAAAGTAGGTAACGTCTTTTATGGTGAAGGGTCGCAGGGGAAATAGGAATATGGCACAGTTTGATGTGTCTGAGAGGTGACCAAGATAAAACTAATTGAGCTTACTAATACGTTATCAAGCTGCTGGGATAGGCTGAGATATAGTTTTTATGACTTTCTTTGTGCCAGATAATACCTACGTGGGAATACTATCCTCATGCAGAGAAAGTTTAGGGTAGTCCAAACAAAAGTGGATTGTAAAATTGTAATGGGGTTCGTGTGCAAATGGAAAATGCAGTATTTTTTCAACAACATCTATTAAATCTAGAAACAACACCTCCCGTCAATGGTAGAATGACGATTTGATTGTCCTTTATATTGTTGTTCATGATATTGATGTGGATTTTACGCCTCCCAGAATCAGCAATTTTGATTATTTACGTACCCATTGGGGTGAAAATGAGCCTCATCAAAAGAGCACTTTGACCGAAAATCCGTCTTCTCTTTTCAGCATCCAATTATCAAAAACACGCCGCTGTTGATGGTCTGCCGGATTCAGTTCTTATGTTAGTTGGATTTTGTATGGATCGAGGTGTAAATCAATGTGTAAAATCCGGCGTAAAGTGTTCTCACTAATTCTCAATTGTTGCGAACGGTGCCTAGTCAAGGTTGGATCTTCTCGCACACTTTCACTCACTGCGGCTACGTTTTCACGAGTGCCAGCTGGACGACCATGTTGGTATGGTCTACGACCTTCAGCTGAACCAGTTTCGTCAAAACAATTAACAATCCAACGAATTCCAGGCTCTGTAGGGCGTCCATGGCGGCCAAAACTAGTGCGAAGTTTGCGAAAAGTATTTTTTATATTTCGACCGTTTTCGTCATAAGTTTGGATAACCAAAATGCGTTGCTGTGTTGTAAACGAATCCACGACTATAAATGGCATACCTTTGACAGTTCATTTATGCATACACATGACTTTAGACTCACATGGTGACACATAAGCTTGTAGGCAAAAAGGTACTAGATGGCGCACCCAGTTTAACTTAATGTTTCCAAAGGCCACTTCAAAAAAAATGCAGTTTGGAGGGCCGCATTATAAAATCTTTCTATACAGCATTATTACTGAGTTTTATTAGGTACATACTATACTATATAGTATACAAAAATAGTTTTTCTATTATTTTTATTTATTCAAAAAACATGAAATTACAAAAAAATCAGTGGGACATTTGAGGATGTTGGTTTTCTAATACTAATGCATCAATATTAACATTAATATTTGTTGTTGATAAACGAAGCAACTGAGCAAGTGACTTATCAGAGAGGGAATATCTATACTTTGACTTGATAAATTTCATGTTGGAAAAGCTGCTGTCGCATAGATACGTACTTTCCATCATTGATCCCATTGTAAGTCCTAAGTTTCGCAAGTTGGGGTATCGTTCTCCTGGCAGTAACTTAAAAAAGTCCAAGCCAGTTTCAGTTCTTCCTTGGTAAAAAGGATCTGATTGCAAGTCACACAATTCCAGTTGAAGGTTTGCTCTGCTTACGTTCTCAACAGAAATTGTTAGTGGCTGAGTAAAAACTGAAATGTCGCTTTCGATTTTTTAAAGTCACTAAATCGATTTTTGAATTCTTCCGCAATTGTGTCTATGTATCTTATAAGAGGTAAATATGAAACTTCTTCAAAATCCTTCATTTCTTCGAAATGTTCTTTACAACTTGGAAAAAGGAAAAATCATTTTTTTGTAATGACGACTTGAAAAGCTTAATTTTATTCTTAAACCCATTTATGTGCCCAAATAAGTTGGCAATATTCTGATGTATTCCTTGTAGCTTCAAATTCAATTCGTTAAGGTGAGATGTCATGTCTGTTAAAAATGCAAGGTCTGCTAAAAATTGTGCATCTGCCATTTGATTTTCCAGTTCCGTACTGTCGGACTTCACTTCATTTTTAAGGAAAATAGGAATTTCCTTGCGTGGAGCGACAAATCGTTGAAAACACTTTCCGGCGCTTAACCAACGAACATCGGTGTGAAGTAACAAGTCCCCATATGTAGCATCCACTTCGGCCAAATAATCACGAAACTTTCTGTGAGTCAAAGCACGATTGCCCCCTCTAACAATATTAGTTATTTTAACAGCCATTTTCTTGACATTTATTTGACGTAAAGATGTTCCACATAAGCTCTCTTGGTGAACAATACAATGTATAGTATCATAGGACAGTTGATGCTGTTTTGTTTCAATAGTCATGCAAATCCAATTTCAGTCCCTGTCATAGCTCTGACGCTATCAGTGGCAATACAGGAACATTTATCAAATCCCCCGTAGTCTGACACCAACTTATTCACAGCTTTAAAAATATCTGTACCCTTGGTTGTACCATGGAGAGCAATAAGGTCAAGCATCTCCTCTGCTACACTTAAGGCGTCTTGAATAGTTCGGATAAAAATTACAAGCTGGCTAATGTCAGACAAACCAGTGCTTTCATCCAGGCATAGCGAAAAATATTTACATTTTTCAACCACGTCACGCAACTATTTGGATACATATTCATTGATATGGTCTTGCAATTGTTTGATGCGATACTGAAACTGTTTCAAATTTTTCGGCAACTTTTAATTCATTGAATTGTTTCGCCATTTCTATTGCACATTTTCTTATAAGCAGTCCATCACTAAAAGGTTTTTTTGCTTCGACAATTTCCAGCGGTATTTTGTAAGACGCGTCAATACTGCAGTTGTTATCAGTCAGATTTTTTGAATAAATTTGTTTGTTAATTTAGTTTTTTCTTGTATTCCGTTATGATAGCCTGCCTGGAGTTCCCTGAATATTGCCGAAACATTTTCTCGTATAGCGTAGTGTAATGTCGTTTCATATTATATTGTTTAGGAACCGATAGTACTTGCATACAAACAATCCACTGAAGTTCATTATTATTGTTTGAGAGTAAATATTCTGATTCCCAACGGTCATTATAAACTCGATGTTCGTTCGTTATTTTTCGTTTCTGTGAAGACACATTTCACGGAGTATTTCACTTAAAAAGGCTTTAGAGTTGCTGTGTACTGAAACGCACTAGCTCTAGAACAAAACTGCCTGTCCCGCTTGATTCGACCTTATATACGCGCCCGTGGCTTCTAGAATGTTCGGGGATGATCGAGAGATCGGTCCAATTTCCAGTAAATTCGCTGCGGCCTGCTATCGGTCGCCAGTGGCGTCACATGTTATTGTATTTTATCGTTAATGTAAGAATTGTGCATATTCGGTATTTGAGAGTAACTTATACATGTAATAATAATAAATAATAATAATAATCCGGCTTTCTGCTAATGTTGTGGACATGCTTCGCGAATTGGAGTCAGCTGTGGATCTTTTTCTACCAGATAGTGATTTGTTCGCTATAACTGGTGATCTAAATATAAATATTTTAAATCTAGATCGTAAAACCAAGCTGTTGTATGATTTCCTTGAGGCATATAATTTGACACAGCTTATTGAATCTCCTACTAGAATAACCAAATCTACGAGTACATTGATAGATTTGCTCATAGTAGGTGATCCGGATGACTTCACTTCTGTCGATACACTTGATGTTGGTATTTCAGATCATTGTGTTTTGACTTTTATAATTAATTTCAGTAAGGCGAGTAGATATGAGAAGTTTTTAAGATACCGCGATTATTCAAAGTTTGACGCAGTTTTATTTTATAACGATCTACATTCTGTTAATTGGAGCTTCATCTACACACTACCAGAGGTAGACTCTATGGTGGATCATCTTGAAGTAAATCTTAAAACTCTCTTTAATCGCCACGCACCTTATCGTCAAGTGAGGGTTAGTAAGCCGCCTGCTCCTTGGCGTACATATAATTTAAAAACAATGAGGTCACTTAGAGATAAAGCTTTTAAAAAATATAAATGTATTAAAAGTACAGCGGCTTACAACTACTATAAGGAGTTAAGGAATTATGTTACTGGTGCGCTCGGAAGAGAGAAAGCTGCGTATTTGAGTTATACCCTCACCAAAAGAAATCAAAAATCAACATGGAACTCACTTAGATCTTTGGAGATTCTGCGCGAAAAAAAGTTAACTGAACTACCACCCAAGTTAAAGAATAGCAACACTGTGAACGCATATTTTAATAGCGTCCCAAATCTGGCTAAAAGTCAACTTCAAATTGATATGCTTGGAAAAGCCGATACCCACGTAATGCAAGCTCATGAAGGTTCTTTTAGATTCACAACAGTTAGTTCCCACGCTGTGTTCAAATTTCTTAATAAAATTAAAAGCAATGCTGTAGGCTCGGATAATATTTCGTTACATATGTTACTATTAGTTTCCTCTGATTTGATGATTTGATAGAGTATGTCACGTTTATTTTAAATTTCTCAATCACATCTGGAACATTTCCTCTTGCATGGAAGCATGCTTTGGTGAGGCCATTACCTAAATGTAACTCACCTGATGAGCTCTCTGACCTAAGACCGATTAGTATTCTGCACACCCTATCAAAACTCCTAGAACTCATCATGAAAGACCAAATGCTTACCTATGCTATTCAAAATAATATTATTACTAGCTTCCAGTAAGGGTTTCGTCCTCATCATAGCACCTCCACGGCTTTAATGAAGATTACGGATGATCTTATTAGAGCAACTGATCAAGGTAATTGCACTTGTCTTGTGTTACTCGACTTCAGCAAAGCTTTCGACACCTTAGACCACGAGACGCTTCTCACAAAATTGATATACTTCGGTTTTTCTTATAACTCGGTTCTACATATCTATAGCACATAATTTACAGCTAAATCCGAAGAAATCACAAGTCATGATTTTTGGCAATAAAAATAAAAGACCTAATCTGCATGGCACATTTTCAGTTACTATAAATGATGTATCTTTGCCAATAATCAGTGAAAACAAAAATCTTGGCATATGGCTGGACTCTGATCTAAGATATACAAAACATGTTAGTCACTTGTGCCAAGTCTCCTATAACGTGTTAAGACAACTTTATCCCAGCAGGAGTATATTATCAAAATTCATGAAGGTCAAACTATGTGAAGCTTTGATTTTGTCTAAACTGGCTTACTGTGACTGCATATATGGACCTGCCCTTTTACAAACAGATATTCTACGCATTCAGCGAATTCAAAATTCTTGCATCAGGTTCGCATATGGTATCCGAAAGTATGACCACATCAGTGAGAGTCTTATGGATTCTGGTTGGCTTACCATGATTAACATAAAAAAACTTCATTTTCTCACATCAGTACACAAGATCGTTACTAGTGGAACACCTATTTATCTATACAATAAACTTACCAGACTGCTTGATAATAAAGTAACTCGCAATAAACATCTTTTGGTTATTCCTAAATATTCAACAGCTCTGTTTAAGCGCAGCTTTTCATACAATGCTGCGAAACTGTATAACAGCTTGGCAGTAGATCTCAAGAATCTGAGCCTCCGCAATTTTAAAAAAAGATTGAAAGCTGATCTCCTGCTCGACCAAGGGCCTAAAGTATAAGCAAACCTCGCTACGTTTTAAAGGATAATGTCCCAGTATGTTTCTTTTTAAGTCGCCATGTTCTTTTTTGCATGAATTGTGCTCTCATAAAAACTGCATTGGCCATGCTCTCGTATGTTCTGTTTTGTATTGCATATTATCTTTTTTTATATATATTTATATATAGGTGAAAAATTAAAGTTTTCGCCTTTTGTTGGGTACAGTTCGTTCCATCTTTCAACACAGACATTGACAACCTCGGCCTTCTGTCAAAGGTTCATCTTACTCATTATTCCATGACCACCATTTTGTGCAATCATCAAGTGGCTTCACGACGTAATGCTCTAATGTTTTTTAAATAATTTTTAATCTGTTTTTAACTTGTCTTGTCATATTTTATATAATTTTGACCATTGTACCATGTATCCAGCTCTCACCATGTTACTGGACGTTTCCCTCATCCTAAACGTAAACAACAATTAGCAACATCCTCACATACTACTGTAAGTTGAGTCAATTTAAATTCATTTTACACTTTTGTTGCTACTGTTATCATTGTAATTGCAGCTCCTGATGATGATGGCAAAGTCAATTGAAAGCTAGAGAGAATTAAAAAAAGTATAAAGAGTCCTCTTTGCTTAAATTTTGTCGAAGTACCCAACAAAAGGCGGAAGCTTTAATTTTTCACCTAACTGGTCTAGATGACAATGACCACGTCTCAAGTTATATTTATATATATATATATATATATATATTGTATGAGTGTTTTTTCGTGGGTTTAGTTGAAAATCAGCTTAGGCTGAATTACGCCTTTCATCATTTTATCTTTAATTTTTTTTGTATCCTCAAGTTATTTATAATGATGAATAAAGACCATTTATTATTTATCATTATTATTATTTATACAAAGTATAAAAAGGCAAAGTGTCGCTAAAAAGCGTATTTCAACTTAACCCAACAAATATTTATGTATATGTTCTAATCCCAATGAAAACAAGAGTTAAAAAAAACCTGTAACGAATCCTTATTCATGGCCATGGTCTACTTCCTGGGCAATGAAATCAGAGATAAAATTCTTCAATCTTTTTTGACATTCTTTATAGAGTAGTGAGTGAACCCGGTAGGCAACGCGTTGTATAGCTTGATAGCAGTATATACGTACGACCTTTTAAATAGAGATGTTGAATGTCTTGGGATAACCAAGATATGCTTATTCTTTGTGTTCAGTTGATTAACATCTGAGTATCTGATAAATTTGGTTGATAGATATGGAGGGGCTTGTGTTGTGATTACCTTATGGGTCAAGGTCAATACATGCATTTTTTGTAGCTCTTCTATTTTTTGAACACCCAGCTCACGATATTTATGTGACACTGTCTCAAATTTTCTCACTCCACAAGCAAATCTGAAACACGCATTTTGAATAGTCTGAAGTCTCCTTATCTCAATCGATCTTAGTGCAGGCCCATAAATACAGTCACAGTAGTGAATACTAGACCATATTAAGGTGTCGCACAACGCTTGAGACCAGTATTCATACTTTTCCTATTAGGAAATAATTGCTTCAAGACACCGAATGACGTTCGGCACAGTTGACTAACGTGTTTTTCAAACCTCAAATCAGTATCAATCC